TGTTCTTTCTTTCCTGGCTGCCATGATATAAGCAGGTTTCCCTCTTCCAGGCCCTTCAGCCGAGTTGCTTCTTTTTAGAAGCCTGCTGATCATGGTTAGAAACATGAGCTGAAATAAACCTCTCCTCCTGGGGGCTGGGGAGATGGCTCAGTGGAATAAGTGCTTCCCTAGCAAGTGTAAGGGTCTGAGTTCAATCCCCGGTTCGGCAAAAAAAAAAAAACAAAACACCTCTCCTCCAAGCCCGTCAGAGCTTTGCCCAAGAGCCCCCAGGCCAACAGAAACAGAGCCTTGCAGACACACGCTTTAGAGTCCTTGACATTTCCTCAAAGAAAGAATGATCTTGTTTTTGAAGATTGACATCCTCTGGCTCCAAGCAGGAATACTGCTAGCAAATCTTTGTCCTTTCTCAAGGTGGCTATAAAAAGGATGATTAAGCCACAGCAATGTGAGCACCACTGAAAGAAGGAAGTTAGGAAGGGTCAGCATGGTGCCGTCCAGGGGGTTAGGAACCATCAGCCTTCGGAAATCAGCAGACACAGATTTGAAATAATTCTGTAAATGTTCAGCCACTGGAAAACTTTCAAAATGCTAGTTTGGTGGAAGCCAATGTGGCTTCTACATTAAAATATAAAAAGGAATAAAGAACAGGTCTCACTTGCGATAACATTCAGCAAATGAGATCGCAGAGAGCCTCTCCCAAGGCTGGACTTGCTTCATGAAATTTGTAAAGCCCAGGACCACAGAGCTTGACTAATGATGCTCACTGTGGGTGTGCAGGCAACTGACTGGTGTGGGAAGGCCCTGAAATGTGGAAAGGAAAAGCTGCCGGGGTAGGGATGACGTCAGTGATCTGTGAAGAGTTGAACATTCTGGTCTCCAGATTAAGAGAGAAATGGAGAAACCATTAGCTTTTAAATGAAATGACCTAGATTTGAATTCCAAATAGCCCAGGATCTCTCTGGGCTCCCTTCATCTCAGTAAAATGCACAAATACTTAGGAATAAAGCTACACTGACTCTCAGGGTTGGGCGAAGGGTGGTATATTTGGGAAATGCCCAAATGCTTTTGTGGGCCACACAGGTGATAAGGTTTGTTATGAGGAAAGGCACTGCAATGGAGCGCTTGATACTACTCCCTGTTCTGTTTATGAATGAAAACTGGCTTAAATAAAAGAACAGTTCCTTTGAAGTGACAGGGTGGTCATAAGAGCCATTTATCCTCCTGCCTAGCACATCATAACACTGAGCTTTTCTGGCCATGTGACTCGCCTGTCACTTCTGAGGAGCTGTAAAGCCATAGGTATGATTTGCCACTTTCCTCCATTTCATCCTTGGTGACAGTGAAGGTGTCCGTTGGCATGAAGTGTGGCCATCATTTTGGACCCTTAGTGACTCTGCAGTGAGCCACAGCCCCACCCATCATGGGCCATGTAACACTGGCAAAGAAACACTTGTGCTAAAGGCCCCGGCAGCCTGGGATTGTAAGCTCCTGCAACATATCCTTGTTTCTATCTTCAATTCTCTGTAATTCTGAAGCTCTAGCATGTGGGGCCTTGATCCTGGAGAGACTGCCCCTCCCAGGACTAGCAAAATGTACGAAGGAATTCCTGCAGGTCTTTGATAGACATTTACCAGTCCAGAGCCGCATGTCCAACTTACTTTTTTTTTTTTTAGTGTATTTGGTACAGGGTTTCACTACACAGCTCAGATTCATAGTGATCACCTGTTTTCAGACTCCCCGGTGCTGGGATTACAGGCGTGAACCACCACACCCAGACTTGGTCACCTCAGCATGCACAGGGGTGGAGCCGTCAAGGCATGTGGTGCTGGAGTCAAACCTGTGTTCCTGCACTTGCCTAAGCAGGTGCTTAGTCCACTGAGCTATCTCGCCAGACCTCAACTTACCTCTTTTATCCAACTTGTATACACAAAGCTGATGCTTCTCCTGCCTTAATTCATACCAGAGTCAGATAATGGGCAACCAAGCTCATCTCTATAACCCAGAACTCACCACGATCATTCAAACTCTCTGATGCCATAGTCCCCTGGGTGCCTGCCTGCCTTAACCATTCCTTTGTGTTAAACCCTGATAAAGGCCCTGGGCTCACCCTCCCTGCCTCTTGGCCAATGCTGACCCTTCCCAGGGCTGTGTGACAAGCTTTTTCTTCCTGTTTCCTAGGCTCTGTATGTATAAACGGCTTTATTTCCATGTCCCTACACCTTTCCATTCCTAAATGAAACAAACTCGGTGCACATTTTTAGAACTGGTGCAGTGAGCAGGTGGTCTGGTGCCAGGTGGAGGTGGCATGAACTCAGATTGCTCTTGACTTACTACCTGCACCCAACAGGCAGAAATACTGCTTGGAGAGGCTCGCAGGTTGCTGTAGCACTGCTGCTTGGTTACTGGCTACTGCATGGTGCTTTGGGCTAGCCATTGCCATACATTCCTGGCCTAAACCTGTGATGCTTGAGAAGCTGTGTCCTCCCCAAGCGGTCCTGTAGGTCAGAGTCTGGGGTAGAGTATCTAGGAGCACTTAATATTTTTCTCTACATCAGGAGAGTAGGCAACTAAGGTCCAGGATCCAGGATCAAGCACCTGCAGTTATACAGGCAATAAGGACAGGAGTTTCTTGCAAAGACTTCTTTGAAGGGGACGAGGTAAGGCTAACCCTCTAGTCCTAAGGGATAGGTGCAACCCACTGACTGGATACCAGTGACCACAAAGGAGCCACAGGAATCATTTGGATTGAAGCACCTCGTATCTGGGATGTTACACTCTCAGGGCAACTCAAGAAACCCCTTCCCTTTTGCTTTCTAAGTTCTGCTGGGTCAACGCTGAGCCTGCTCCCAGGTCACGGGAGTGTTCCACCTGAATGTGCTCTCACACGTCAAGGGCCACTGGTGGGGTCAGTACATAGGGGATCGCGGTACTCCTCAGATGCAGATGAGGTTGCAAGCCCTATGGCTGTTGTGACTTATTCCCTAACATAGCGAGACGATGAGAGGTCTCTTCCTTGGAGACCAGCAGCTCGATGTTTGATGGAAAAGGGGAACGATCTTTTATGCTTTTCTCAGCCTCTGGAGTCTAGAAGGCCTCCGTCGAGCTGGGCTTTCTGTGTGTGACAGAAACACGGACCTCACCATCAAAGCACAAGAGGAGGTGGTGATCACTGCTGCCGGTTCCAACAGTGAGAGCCCAGGGAGAGCCCCGCTGACCCCACAGAGGTCGCGCGCAATGTGGCATCCTCTGCAGCACACACAGCGAGCAGATGAGCCCTCTGGTCACTCTTGTGGCCAGCCAGCGATTGACTCTTGCCCTTCTGTGGTTGGAGTGTGCACACCAAAGACCCTGGGGAAAGGGTGGTTTGCAGAGCAGCTCCATCGCTCAAAGAACTGGGAAGCCAGGCAGGCGTCCAAGGAGCTGCCTGAGATCCTTCCGGGCCAGGATCCGGCCCACTGACGAGCAATCCGTGCTCGGTGAGAGCAAAGGACAAAGCCCTGCGCTGGGCAGGTGAGCCAAAGGGCCATAAGCAGCCACACACTCCTCCCATCAAGCTAGGCTGAGTGTCTGTGAAAGGCCAATGCCCAGGGCTTTGCAAACTGTACGCAAGTCAGAGTGGAAGGAAAAGAGAGGGATCAATTATGACCAGGCTGAACTCAACTGAAGGATAAAATCAGGGGCTCTCAACCCGGAAGTAGTAGGCTGGCTTAAAGGGTCCCTGGCCCATCATGGCACCTGGAAAATTTAATGTTCATTTCTCACAGAAAGGTTCTACAGCTTCCACCAGACTGTTAGTGGATATGGCCCCAAAAGGTCCGGAACTGCTTTTCTCTTTTGTAGTACTAGGCATTGAACCTCGGGCGTTTGCACTGAGCTACATCCCCAGGTCTTTTTAAGTTTTGAGCTAGTGTCTCATTAAGTTGCCCAGGCTGGGATCCAACTTGTGATCATCCTGCCTCAACCTCCCAAAGTGCTGGAATTTTTGGACAGGCACCACCACAACGAAGGCACTTTAAAAACAGGTCACTCAGCTTCCAGGACAATGAGGCAGAGGGGGTTGAAATCCTTTCACGTCCTTGCATCTCACTAGGTGAGCAGAACTGAGCTTTTTCCTCTACTTCAGTTGCAAAATTTTCCAAATGGAGCTCAGTACAGAGCTCCAGTGCCCCTTGCTGAGTCTTGTGTAACGAAGTTGGAGAAATCTGGGCCCAAGTCCTAATGAGGCCATTTGCCAGCAGGTGACTAAACCTCAATGAGCTGGTTTCCTCATCAATAAAGGCAGGATAATAGCATACCTTCCTGTACAGCCGTTACAGTAGATGAAACAACGTACGTGCAGAACTTTCTACTTTCGTTCCCATTAATAATCGAAGCTAACATTACTGAGCTTTCCTATGAGCCGTAACAGTTAAGTGCTTTTAGGTATGTTGTAGCATTTAATTTGAAGAGAACTTCTATGAAGTTGGTACTATTATTGTACCTCTTAAAAAGGTAAAAAGAAAAATGGGTGAGAACTGAGCTACAGAAAAGCAAAACTAGTTTCAGATCCTGGTGGCCCGAGCCCCAAGTACACACTGTATTCTTAACCTGTGATCACACACCTCCTCCCACTCCACACACACCCCACTGGAGAAGCTGCCAAAACACAGGTCTTAGCGGGCAGGCTGCAAATGGTTGGCATGGGGGTGATCTGGACAATGAAGAAGATAGGTCTTCTCGCAAGGGGTCCCTGTGGGATGGCAAGCACAAAGCAGGGGTGATCTCGTGTCATTCAAGTCTGGGGACACCACTCTCCTGGCTGTTGAAACAAGTGCAGACCAACTGCTAACCCTGCTCCTGTCTGATCCACAGGCCCAGCAGAGGCAGGGAAGGTGGTAAGGTTTATATTCCTTGTTTTATGTCACATCAGAGGACACGGGCTTGGCAGGGAACCAGGAAGTTAGGATCTTCCAGAACAAGATAGTGCTGGCCAAAGGCATCGATGGAGGTGAAAAGAATCATGACCAGAATCATAAACTGTTATTTATTTCCAATTACAGTACTCTCACCATCCACCCCCAGAGTGATTCCAACTTCCCAAGCTAAGGAGATGGTCCAGCGGGGTGAGGGAGCTATGGGACGCCTGGGAGACACCACGTTGGGTGACCCAGCTCCGTGACATTTGCCCGGCTTCTCTGCCGAAGAGGCAGGAGCAGCTGGCCTCATCCATTTGCTTCCATTTGCTCTCCAGCTGGAAACTCACTCATCAGAGCTAACGTAGGAAATGGACTCATTAGGTCAGCTCCATGGTGTGGCCTCCACACCCCACACAGCCACGCAGGGGCGGCTCCTGGAACCTGCGCTCCCCTCAACCGCACAGTAGCAATCAGCCAGCACCCAGGGGCCTTTCAAAGATAGAGGCTTCTGTTCATTTGCTCCAGAGAGAGAAAGGAGAACAGCGAGGCTCTGGCTGCTTCTCCGTCTGCCTGTGCCCTGTGGATGGCAGCAAGGCCCTCCATCCCACCACTGTGCCTGAGTGTGGCCTCAAGGGGAGGTGCTTTGTCACTGACACAGGAGGCCAGAACACGGCAGCAGCACTGGCAGCTGGTTGGTTCATTTACTGGCCACAGCAGAAAGCTGGTCCCGGATGCGGCCCAGCCCATCTAGCATAGTGTCCAGCGTTTCTTTGCTTAGCTCCACGGTCACAGCAGACGTGGAGGGCTTGTCCCCGCACAGGCTGGGATCTTCCTGGATCTGCAGAGAGAACATGGCCCATGGTCAAAGCTTTCTGTCTTCCTGGCTCCCTGTACCAAGTCTCCTCAGTCCTGCTGCGCCTCTGCACACAGCACTCTGCTGAGAGCCACTGGGAACCTGAGCTCACATAGCCGGCAATGGGGGGAGAGTGGGGGAAGGCCAGCATCGCCTTCCACTGGCTGCAGGGCCTAGGCACAGGCTGGACAACGCCCACAGATGCACCCCTTCACCAATATCCTAGGGCTCGGCACCAAGTGAGTGGCCATTCACACTCTAAGGTGGGCGCTGTTGGGTACATATAATCCTCCGACTGTAGGAAAAATATTACAACTTCTAGATTTTTAAATCTCACTTTTAAAAGAGAAACAAACTAAGCCTTACTACTACTTAAAATGTAGCCATCAGAGGTACCTTTACTTCTTCATTTTCTCACATTTCTAGGTAACTGCTGGGGCAGATACACCAATGGACTGACTGTGTAGTCTTAGCTAATTTTACAAAGTGGGTGTGACTGGAAGAGATGGCTGAAACAACAATAACGCGAACATAATTAACAGGGTACATGGACAAGAAATGAAGGACAATCTGCTACTGACAGAAGCTTGGCTGGCCAGGTGGCCTAAGGTGACGGCTTATCCTCCTGGCTGAGTTGCCAAGAGGTCACTGAAAAAATCTGGAAGGCTTTCTGAAGTCTGAACACATGTTCCTACTGTACAAACTAAATTCCTCACTTAGTGTACACCTTAAAGTACCAGCAAACAAATAATGAAATGTTTTGCACTTTTCACTGTTTTAAAACTTCTACTTTCAGTGTGTGTTCTACCGTATTCCTAGCATGTTAACACAGTAGTGTGATTTGCGAATAAACAGACACATCAGGGGGACACTACATTTTTCTCATTTAATTCAGGAGGATGTCAGTGGCTCGTGTCACAGAGGGCCATGGAGGCCAAGGTGCTCCTGTGTCCCATCTAAGAGCATGGTGGCAAACTCACCTTCATCTGGAGCAGGCAGGTGGGAATGGCCATGCGGCTGATGCTGTCTGAGGCGGCTTTGATGTCCACTCTCCAGTCCAGGTCCACGAGGCGTGGCAGAGAGACTGTGGAAGGCCGGCCTAGCTCAGAGCTCGCTCATGCCACCCACACCTGCCAAGCCCCTCTGGCAGGTGGCTCTGTGGGCTGTACATGTAAGATTCATCTGACCTACGCACCAAGTCTCTGAAAGACACCGATGGGGCGATGACCCCAGCATGCGCGGGCCTTCCCCACTGCTCAGTGCCACCGGCCCACAGCACTAACTCACTGTCACCTGAAGACCCAATGCTCCAGATGCTACAACAGAATGAAAGTGACACATAGCAGAGAAGGCGTCATGGCCTGACTTAGGAACAGTGACACCTCCGTGCTAGTGGTGAGGGGCCTCGCTTTAGACTTGATTAGAATGCAGGTTTCCACCACCCAAGTAACCTGTGAGCCTCTGCTTCTTCATCGGAAGAAGGGAGATCACTTCAGCTTAGTCCACAGGGATGCTGGAAGATGGGGTGAATCACTACAGAGGAAGCGCTTCAGAACTGACTGGCTCGGGGTAACTAAACATGCACTTTCAGTCAAGCTTCAAAGTATTTCTAATATATTCATGATTGTAATGAAGCTACTAACCTGTTTTGAAATTCTGTTTTATTATTTTAATTTTTTCTCTTTAAAAATAAGAATACTTTAAAAAAAAAACCCTAAAATTGTTTTTTCAATTCCTGTTATTTTTTTTCTTCACTGAAACATGCTTACTGCTATGCTTGGGATCTAGAATGCCCTTAGGCCTCCTGGTCCAGCAGTGATGGCGCTGGTGCATTCTTACTCTGAGTCCTTCCCTCCCCATTCTGCTTTAGGGCTGCATGACCTGAGTGGCCCTGCCCCACACGGAGCCCTTCTACTGCGCTGCTCCTGTGTCCGAGCCAGAGAACCCTGGGCTGAACCACTGACACCAGGGCCAAATGAACCTGTCCTCCTGTGAGCTGCCGGTGTTGGGTGTTTTGTCCCAGCAACAGCTGTTGGACGGGGCCTAATACAACTGCACACCTCACTTCTGCTTTGGATACTTTGGTGTTTTTAAAACATGATTTTATAACATGTCTATAATCTGAGAAAAATTATAAAGTAGAATAGGAAACTACACAACACAGAGAGTGGTTAGCTTTAGAACCACTCCTTTTGATGTTTGGTCACTGTCTTTGGTCACTCAGCAGGCTCAGAGCTGGGGCTGGGGTGGGCTGAAGGAGGAGTACTCACTCTGACTTGCTTGGGCTTCGGTTCTCCATGCAGATCTGTTTGAGAGAAAAAGATAAGGAAATGATGGTGGGAAGGAGATAAAAGCGTGTTTTCCCAAAATTAGAGAGCCCTGAATGAACCTCTGCCTTTGCTATCCTTTCAGACCTCTTCATAGGGAAGGACCTCAGAAAATGTCGCTTCCTAAAAGCAGGTTTTTGTTTATTTATTTTGTGAAGTTCTGTGAGGTTAAGGCTGTAAGTGCTATTAGTTCTTAAGGCTTAGGACAAAACCCAGAAGACTTCATGCACTGCTACCGTATTGTGCTATTGTGTTCAGCGACAGAGTAAAGGTCAATGTGCCTCCAAGGGAACACTGAGTACATAGAGCACTGCACCTTACGCAGCACACACACCACAAAGACCTGGCTGACTCCAGCAGTGAGCTGCTGAGAGCCAGAACAGGGCGCGGTCACATACGGTGCACAGTTCCAAGGAAGCCGCGAACCCGAGAATAGGCATTATTGGTTATTACTACTAAAGAACTGTTCAAGCCTTCTGCTAAATAGTATCAATTCTATTTGCTGTGTGTGTGTGTGTGTGTGTATGTGTGTGGTAAAGGAGCTGACTGACTCAGAAGATCTGCAGATAACTCACAAAACAAATTAAAACTGACCGATAAACACATGAAAAAGCCATTCTCCATTACTAGTCTTAAAGGTGCGTGAGCTGAAGTGAGGTAGCATCTGGTGTGTAAGGAACTGGGCAGAAGGTAAGGAAAGATCCACTCAGTAAAGGTGCGGTCTGAAGGGCACGCCGTGTCCTCTGCGGGAAAAGGGCACAAGCTTTCTGGTGGCCCACTCCACGATACAAGGGCAAAACCCAGCACGCTCAGATCCTCTGTCCAGTAAGGGACTAGCTAAATACAGGAGCAAAGTTTCTAGTCTATAAATTGTTCCCTAAAGTGAAAAAATGCTAATAGCCCCAATGTATACCACTAGGGAATTTTAAACTCAATTCCTTCCTATAATGGAATGTATTTGAAATTTAACTGTTAAAAATTTAAAATGAAGGGCCAGTGAGATAGCTCAGCAGACTAAGTGCCTGCTTAGGCAAGCCTAGGAACTGGGCTTCGATCCCTGGTACCCCATACTGTGCAGGCCCTGCTCCCCAGCATGCTGAGCCAGCCACCAGGTCTGTGTATGGTGGCGTACGTCTGTAATCCCAGCGCTGGGGAGGCTGAAAACAGGAGGATCACTATGAGTCCAAGCTGCGTAGTGAGAACCTGTACCAAAAAAAAAAAAAAAAAAAAAAATACACACACACACACATATGTATATATATGTATATATACTGAAGGTGAATATTTGTTGACCTGAAATATCATTTATGTTGATACTATTAATTAAAAAAAAATTATAAAGTGGCATGTTTTTCTGTGAAAAACAAAATAACTTCTACATGTATAAAAAGAAATAATAAACATGTAAAAGACTTAGCATTAAGGAATACTGCTGATTTCTAGGTATCAGGCTTCTCAATACCATTTCTAACTTTTCAACATAGAAAATACAGTGTTAAGGGCTGGCCAGATAGCTCAGTGGATTAAAACACCTGCTTAGGCAGATACTGGGGCCAGAGGTTCGATTCCCTGGCTTGAAGTGCCAGCTCCGCCCCCGGGATGCACCAAGATGGCAAATGAGACTAGGCACAGTGGTATGAGCCTGTAATCCCACACTTGGGAAATCCCATTACTTGAAAAATAAGAAGGATCACTACAAGTCCAATCTGTATAGTGAGACCCTGAAAAAAACAATGTTATTATTTTGAGAACAGAAAACAAAAATATTAAGACATAAAAGAAGGAACTCTAAAAAGTGAGGACTTACACATGTTCTAGGATGATTTTTGTCAGCAGGTTTTTGAGGTTCTGGTGGAAATTTTCTGGAAAGAGAGCCAGAATCGACTGGGCAGAGGACAGGTCCCGGAAGGCCACAAGCCTGGTGAGGCGGTGCAGAGCCTGGAGCAGCTGCAGGACAGAGAAACAGGCCTATAGCGGCAGAAGAGGCAGGGTGCAGGGGCAGAACACGGGGCAGCAGTGGGCTTCAGGGCTGGGCACCAACACGGGCACGAGTGTGGACACCTCGAGCAGATGCTGGTGTCCCACATGCCTTGGCCACCTGAGGCCAAGACCAGGGCTGCTGCCTGGCTTCAGAAGCTGTGGATGGATGGCTGGAAATCACATGTGGATGAATGCTTTATGCACCCTTTTTCCTTCTGCGTGAGTATCTGACCTTCAGTTAACTTTCTGGGGCTGTTTCCCTGGTAACTGAAGAGAAGCAGAAAGTTAGCTGTGTTACTAGGCAACCCTGTATTGGTCCAGTGCCTTCTGGACTGAAAGGCCTACGCAAATAGCTGGGGCCCACATGCCGGGCCTGCCTGAGCGAGGCTGCAAGCTCCTTGCAGGAACCTGATGCTGTGCTGACTGAAGTGTGACGAGATATATTGGTTCCTGTGGAATATGGGCTTTGAATCCAGGGTGGCAGGAATCTCACGTCCTTGCCCTTAAGTTGTCACTTGGAAGAGCAAAGAAAACAAGTGGCTCTGGCTGGCTGTGCGGGCTGCCCCTGTGCAGTCTGGACCCTGCCCTGCTGTGTGCTCCCACCTGAGGTCCCTGTGGATCTGCGGTCTAGTGTGGCCTACAGTGGGCCGTGACTAGGATGATGTTCTGCTGGGCCTAGCATGTTCTAGAGGTCACCTCTTCTCTAGTACCCGGAGCTTGCTTCACTAGGTGGACACAGGCCAGGAGTGAGGGGGCCGTTAACCCTCCACCAACGAGGGGCAGGAGTTAGTGTAGAACTCATAAAAACACTTTATGGGCTGGTTTCCCTCCCCTATTTGATTTTTCCTGCCCTCTCTTTGTGCTTTCTAGAATCACTGCCTGAAAAGTGGCTGCACCCTAGTCCTTGTCTCACTGTCTGCTGTGTGGGAATTCAAACTACGTTTCCAACTCTCTTCCACACCCTTGGATCTCCTTGTGCTATTCTGTAATGGATTTTAATGTGCAAAATTTCAGATTAAAGAAATAACACCACCAGCTGATCTGAATGAAGAGATGCCCATTTTAGAAGCACATCTATCATGAAATCGCTAAGGCTGTCACTGCTGCATTACCTCTCATGAGTCATGTCCTCTTGGCCACTCACTGAGATCAGGCGACCTGCACAGGAGACTTCCCCGGGGCAGAGGGACCAGACGGGTGTGATACCCAAAGCCCCCTGCAGAGCGTGACTGACCCAGAGGTGTTCAGCTCAGACCTCCACGCTTCTGCCCTACGATCCCCGAAGTCTGCCCTCACCTAGCCAGCTGACAGGTCAGCTTTATCAGCAAGTTACAGGGAAAGAGAAATCACCAAGGCTGGCTTTTGTCTTCTCTGCCTGAAAAGAAAAGGGTCAGGAGCTTTGCCTGAAAAGGTATTACTGGGCACAGCTGTCCCATCCATGCCTTACTGATCATAAGCCAGTGTGCCAGACAAAAGCTTCTGAGTCCACTACTATCAAGGAAAAAAATCTACCAAGTTAACAGCCACTTCAGGAGGAAATTCTTTAGGACACAGCAAAAACTAGGAAGTCAGGACGGAGATTAACAAGTGACCAGCACAGCTGGTCATTTCTGACCACACTTACGTGCTCGGCCTCCCCTTGGGTCACAGACAAGCTGGAACACGTCATCTCCAAGAGTTTCTTTGAGTCCAGGGATGAACTGGAAAAGCTCTCTTGACACAGCTGTCTGACAACATCTTTCGAGGAGGCCTAAAGGAATTCACACAAGGGAAAAACAGTCAAGGCTGAGAACACATGTTTTTGAGTAACACTATCTTAGTCATTATGTGGCGCCTTTGAGACTTAAGACTTAAACGTGACATTTTCATATCTTGGAAGACAAACTAGATGTACCTTTCTCTATTCTTTCTGCTAAGTAAACTGAAATCCCTATGTACTATATAGAAAACAAAGGTAAGATGACTCCGAAAGGGGAAGAGAAAAGGTAGGTCACCTATGGCCTTGAGAACCGAACAATGACACAACAGTGAGTCTGCTGGGTGTTTTGCCTCACAGATCCCAGATTTTGAAGTGAAGAAAGGAACCTGGAAATGCCAATGGAGAAAAAAAAAAAATCTCCAAACCTTCATCGTTATCTGTAGTCAAAGTGCCAAAGCCAATAACTGCTCTAGCTCAGTCAACCATCACCATGAAGCCACCCCACTGACATCACTAGTGGTCGAGTGGGGATCCTGCAAGGCTGTAACGAGGGGCCGGGGAGATGGCTCAGTGGAATAAGCGCTTCCCTGGCAAGCGCAAGGGCCTGAGTTCAATCCCCAGTTCTGAAAAAAAAAAAAAAAAGAAGAAGAAGAAACAAAGAAAGAAAGAAAGAAAGAAAGAAAGAAAGAAAGAAAGACAGGCTGTAACGAGGCCCTGCAGCTCCGCTGGGCTGGTGTCACGGAAGATCAGGCGGGTGCTGGTATCTTCATCCCCAGCAGTTAGTGACAAGCCCCACCCCCCTGTAGTTTTAACAAAAACCATAAGGAGACAGAGCTCCTACCACTACCTAAGAGGGACAAGAGACCGCTACATTCATATATCAACAGGATTCCGGTGGGGAACCTGGTCTTCTACTTCTAACTGGTAGCAGTGAGGTAGTGCCTGCTTTCTGTACCCAAGCAATGTCAGAGAAAGTTAGCTAAAATGCAAGATCCAGAGGTTTACAGCTTCATGTGAACATGTCCAGGTTTTAAGAAAAACCACTTATCAAATGAGGAACCAGAAAGATTGCAAGTTGAATAATGAAAAACAAATTTTTTAATTTTAATTTTAACTTTTTTTTCTGTATTTACGACAGATTCTACAGAGTGTACAGAGTCTCACTATGTAGATCGGACACGTAGAGATCCTCCTGTTTTCAGCCCCCCAAGTGCTGGGATTACAGGCACATGCCACCATGCCCAGTCTCAATCGCAGTCTCAGTACTCCCTGTGGTCAGGGTCAGAACGGCACACTAGGGACTGAACCCTGGCCACTGTGCTCTGCCTAAGCAGGCACTTTAGTCCACTAAGCTATCATGCCAGCCCTTTGAATAACAAAAGATTTTTAAAGCAGTCCTGATAATACTTTAATAAGCAGGGGGCTGGGGAGATGGCTCAGTAGAATAAGTGCTTCCCGGGCAAGTGCAAAGGTCTGAGTTCAATCCCTGGTTCCACCAAAAAAAAAAAAAAAAAAGAAAGAAAAAAAAAGAAAATTTGAGCAAACAAATGAGATATTAAGTTTGCCTTTTTATTCGGTATATATATATATATATATATATATATATATATATTCGGTACAGGGTCTCACTACACAGCTCAGACTCATAGTGATCCTCCTGTTTCCAGCCTCCCCAATGCTGGGATTATAGGGGTGCACCATCACACTCTGACTCAATGGCCAGCTCAGCAGGCCTAGGGGCAGGGCTGATGCAGCATGTGGTGCTTGGGATCAAACGCCAGTCCCTGGGTTTGCCTACGCAAGAACTTAGTCCACTAAGCTATCTTGCTGGCTCAGAAGATATTAAGAATAAAATAGAAATTTTAGATCTGAAAAATCTAATACTTAAAAGACTCACACCAAGATATATCATAATTCAACTTCTAAAAATGAAGAGCAAAAAGAAAGTATCTTGAAAGCATCAAGAGATAAGAGAGAAACAACACTTTAAACAATTACCAGAAATCAAAGAGACCAGAGGAAGTGGTGCAGTACTTCTCAGGTGATGAAAACAAAGCAAGAACTGCCAACCTAGAATCCTACAGCCAGCAAAAACAGGCTTCATGAATGAAGAGGAAATCAGGACACTGATTCATCCACTGATGAAAAGATAATATGAAAAACCTGTCACTAGATCTGCCATAAAATAATGCCAAATTACATTCTCTACACAGAAAAGAAATAAATGCAAGAGGCGGAGGGATCCAGCCTGAAGGATTCTGCTGCCATCCTGTACCATAATGGTCAGCATTGCCCCTGAAGAACAATGCCCCCTTCCCATTCTGCTAGCATGTCACAGAAAAATAACACTCCAATATGACCGTGGCCTGTGAGGCCGGCATGCAGAATCCAGGCACTGCCAGTGCCACAGATGTGCCTGGCATCTTTGGTTTCTAAGCGTCTTTGGCATACAGCAGTTAGTTCTTTCACACCAGATTCTTCTGGAACAAGAAGGAATCTTGGACTATCAAGAGAAAGGAACGGAACATGTAGAAACAGGTATAAAAACAAAGTTTTCTCTTTTTTCCACAAGCTTCCTAAATTATATTTAAAGGCAAGAGCAAGAATTTATAACACGAGTGAAGCTCTAAACGTAGACAGAGGAAATTTGTAAGACAACTGTGAGGGAGGGTAAAAGGACACAGAAGGAAGTAAGTTCTATAATTCATTCTAATTGTTAAAATAAGCTATGCATATATAATACAGAAACTTGAGCAGCCACTAAAAGGGTATAAAAAGAATGCATTTTAGAACTACAGACTAAATCTAAGCAGAATCAAAAAAAAAATTTTCCTGTTAACAGATTTTTTTTTAGCATAGCTGGAGATTGAACTCAGACCCTTGTGCTTGCCAGGGAAGCGCTTATTCTACTGAGCCATCTCCCTGGCCCCAAAAGAAATATTAAACTTAGTATTATCTAAAAGATCATGTTCTGGGCCATAAAAAAACAAACAAACAGACAACACACTATTATTCCAGTTGAACACCTGGATACTTAAACAGCATATTTCTAAATAATCAAAGTTCAAAAAGTCTCAAGGGAGCTTAAAAAATGAGACTGCATGAGTGAAAATGAGAAAATCGACTCTTAAAATTTGCAGGACCCAGCCCCCAGAAGTGTGGAGAAGAAAACCAACAAGAATTAAATGCACAGATGAGAAAACAAGATAAAACTCTCAAATTAAAAATTCACACTTCCACTTTAAAAGCCGGGGGGAGGGGCGAGAAAAATCTGAAGGGAGCCAAAGACAAGAAACTGCAAATGGAAAGTCTGAGAAGTAAATGAAACAAAAAGCTGGTTTTTGAAAAATATCAATAAAATTGACAAAGCTTCAGCAAGACTGACAGAAAGCAAGGCAGCTCAAATCACCAATATCAGAAATGAAATTAGAGGGCTGGCCAGATAGCTTAGCAGATTAAAGCACCTGCTTATGCAGATGCAGGGACTGGGGTTCAATCCTCGGCGTGCCATGCCGAAGAAGGCGACTGAGACTGGGCACGGTGGTGCACACTTGTAATCCCAGCGCTCGGGAGGCCTAAAACAGGAGGATCACTATGAGTCCAAGCTACACAGTGAGACACTGTAGACCCTGTACTAAATTAGTAAATAAATAAAAATAAAAATAAAAAAATGAAATTAGAGTGTCACTACAGAACCTCAGACATCAAAAGACTGTAAAGGAAACCCTCTGAATAACTGCATGTATAAAGCTGATGGTTTAAATGAAATGCACCAACTACTAAACAACAAACTCCCAACAATAATAAAAAACTATCACAAACCCCCATAAGAAATTGGTAATCTGGATATTCCTGTAGCTATTAAGGAAACTGAATTCGTGACTTTAAAACTCCCTCTCTCAAAACAAACACACACACAAACAACTCTCCTGCCTGGCTGATTGCACTGGCAAGTTCTAATGAACATTTGAAAAAAAAAACTAACCAATCTATGCAATGCCTTTCTTTGTTGTTGTTTCATTTTTTATTTTTTAAACAGTACAAATTAAAAGAGTAAACATTACAAGTGATATAGAATTTCACTTAATAAAGTAATACGAATTTCACAGTGTTTGTCGTAATACAGTGTTGTCTTCCAGTTATGCGTTTCTTTTTTTTTTTAAATTTTTTTTATTTTTATTTGAGAGAGAGAGAGAGAGAGAGAGAGAGAGAGAGAGAGTGTGTGTGTGGTGTGTGTGTGGCCAGCTCAGCCCACCAGGGGGCGGGGCTGGCTGGCATGTGGTGCTGGGGGATTGAACCGCGGTCCCTGATGTCTTGCCAAGCTTGTTCTAAGTAGGTGCTTTAGACCACTGAGCCATCTCTCCAGCCCCAGTTATGCGTTTCTAAAACAGAATAGCAGGGAAGATTTCCCAGTGCATTTTATAGCTAGTATTAGCCTGATACCAAAACCAGATGAAATAGTACAAAAAAAAGGAAACTACAGACTAACACCTCTCACAAAAATAAACACAAAAATCCTTATTAAATATTAACAAATAAGCATGAGTAATATCAGGGCTGATAAAAAAATACAGTGTATTTAAATTAAAATTTCATTCACACTGGAATTAAAAATGTATCATTTGTAACTGCTCAAAAAATGAAATACAGAAAGTATATGCTAAAAACTATACAATATAGAAGAAATAAATCCCAGGAAATCTAAATATGGAGCGATATCCTGTTTTCAGACTGGAAGAGTCAACACTCTAAACATGCTTCTTTGATTCGTGTATAGGTTTAATGCAATTCAAACTGTTAAGGCTTGTACACAGATGTCCCCTCAAAGCCCTATGTGCTCACAAAGGAGGTTTTTGAACATGGCTCTATTGGGTGTGCAAATGTGGATGAATGGTGAATGGTGTAAGGGTGTGGTAACTACATTAGTCCACTGAGTGGTTAGGTGTAATTCTAGGCTCGGATAATTGGAAAGCCTACTCTGGGTGTGAGAGGTATCACCCTAAAGGCTTGTAGCCTGGGTAGGATAAAAATGAACGGGAGGTTTGCCACTT